ATTAATTCATAGAGATGTGTTCTTACAAAATTGAATTTATTCAAATGGCAAATTCTTGTCAAATTTAATCATCATTGATCATTATTTAAGTAAAATGCACAAGATTTCTCATACCAACTTTCATTTCTGAGATTAATATCCAATTATTCAGGTAAAATATACAATACTTTATTTATAAATATGTAAAGCAGCAGATACAGTACAGCAACCTGAAGAGAAGAAGCCCCATTTTTTTTCTTCAAAAAGTTTACTTTCAATTTCATAATCTATAAAATACCCTGAGAAATTGGACAAGGGCTACTGTGCTAGCTAATCTAATAGTTGAATTTTACAATAATAATGATTTTAAAATTCAAAATTGTGTCACTTTCACTTATAATTTTAAGCTTAATATTTTTTACAGAATTTTTGTCATTTTTTTGGTAAACTTTTCCTTTTTCTGTATGATATTTTCTAGACAGTACTGTACTGTTCAACTAAGAAACATAGGCTTGAGTTAAAAGGCTTATTTACTATGAAGAAATTAAATTGTGACTCTTGGTCCCACTTTATTAAAATATAAAATATAAATGGTCAGTACTGTACTATTTTTTTTTTATTTTTTGCTTACAGTTCGTTTTAGATCAACATTAACTGTAAATAAACAATACTAAAAATGTTAATATAAAATATCCATTCTTAATACAAATAGTTTCAATAATGATTTATTTCACAAGTATTTGTATTTCATATTTTTTTAGGCATTTGACATTTCAAGTGCGTACTATAAGGTGACCATTATATTTTTGGAGGGGATAAATCCTGCACGGCAAGAACTCGAGATAAATACAATTGCCCAAGACAGGATATTAAATTGAGATATTCTACCCAAAAAATGCAGGGAATGATTATGTACAAAAGCAAAAATAAATTTTGACGCGTGAAAACGGACTATTTTGTCTGCAGAAAATCCTACTCTCCCTCCCCCCGAAAAAAATCATAATGGTTGTACAATAACCATTTTTCATCAAACGCAAGTTCATAACGATTTTTTCATACATTACAAATGTCTTTAGAATTGACAATACTTGTTTTACTCTGTCATGGCAAGACCAAAAGGGCATGAAACTAATTCCTTTTTATTTGGTCCGCCTAGATGTCTCCAGTACAAGATGAAAATATACAACCCCTGCTCTAATAAGCTACGGCAGATATTATTTTGCTAGCTCCCAAAAATGTCTTGTTTTAATTTCAAAGATTTGAGATATATTTTGTGTTTTAGTGTTTTTGCTTGTTTTTAGCTCACATTGATCTACAAGACCCAGGTGAGTTATAATTGCCATCACTTGGTGTCCGTCTTCGTCGTCGTCGTCACAAACTATTTTCAAAAATATTCTCAATAACGACAATACAAAAATAAGGAGATGTGGTATGATTGCCAATGAGACAACTATCCACCAAAAAAATATGAAACAATTAAATTGAGAAAACTAACGGCCAAATTTATAACAAAACAGTTTACGAAAAACATATGACAGAAATAAACCAACGACAACCACTGAACTACAGGCTCCTTCAGGACCACTTTCAACCAAACTTTGGCTGAATGAACCTTATGATATTTTGTATAAAAAAAAATTCTATTCTTGTCCGTCAAGAAACATGGCTGTTCAGATGGCTAAAAAGAGAACATAAGGGTAAAATGCTTTATTGTCTTATTGTCTTGAAATCAATGATAATAGATGGAGAAAATCCTACGAGACAAACATGCTGAGAATGTCAAGATCTACCTATTTTCTGTTTGCACGAAAATAATCAGATGACTCCTTCAGGAGTTACTGTCCATAAGCTGGGACATAATATATTGTTAGTATAACAGTCCAAGCCATAAGTAACTATTTTTGGCTCATTTTCATGTTTTACCTATTAAGTCAAAACTATATTAATAGGTTGTCACCTTGAACAGCAAAAAAAATCATCAAGAGCAACCGTTGATAAATGGCAATCAGATGACTGAAACCAATGGAGACTCCTTAAGGAGTTATTGCCCTAAAAACGATGATTTTCTTAATATTTTTTTTGTGTGTTTCAGTATTAAACAAAATAAAACACAAACTGTGCACTGCAAACAAAATATCAACAATACAAGATCTACAAAATTAAAATAACTGGTTGCAATAAAGCTTAAAATATACATCTAAATGGCATATATTTACCAGGTGAGCGATTCAGACTCTTATGAGCCTCTTGTTTATCAAACTCTTGTAATTGCTCACTTAAAAAAATCTTCTCATTTAATCAGTACTTTCAAAAAATTAAATAGACATTATTGCTCACTCGCCGCTCGCCGCTCAGTTCAAATGGAAAAATCAGGACAACAAATTAACAAATTAATTTTTTCAAAGCAGACATGCCTGCGCTTCAAACTATTATGGTTTTTGTCACAATCTGACATGAAAAACAAATGACCGCCATAAGCTTGCTATTGACTCAAAGTAAGGTGAAATATACAGACAATTTGTGCCTTCAGTTTTTAAAAGATCTCTGCAGTACTCAATCCATTTAAGTTATAGTTTGAAATCTAAATAAATATTTTAATTGAAATATGTATACAAATGTAAAAAAAAAACCAACCAGAATCAAGGTTTCAAATTTTGGGCATTGAGGTATAGATACAGTAAACCTACGTCTTCACATTGTTGCGGCCTATGTCCCACTGGGGATGAAGAGGATACGTAAAGTAAGTAAGTCTTCACACAAACAGAAGTGTTCAAACTTAAGCACTCTTTATACCAAAATTACAACTATAAATTCATATATATGAATATGAATATATTCTTCAATTCGATGACATATCACAGGTTATTTTATTTGTTATGAGCAACACTAGAGTAGCTGAAAATGTTTACCATCCGTGGCACTTGACCTATGTGATGTTTAATTTTATGTGTGGTGTTTTTTGGACCGATATTAGACTTTTACACCTTTTTCCTTTGACTATTTTGTCTTCTGTCCTTCGTCGAACTATAGGCAACCGTACGACCTTCAACAATGAGAAAAACCCACACGCATAGTCGGCCATAAAGACCTCGGCATGAAAAACATGAATCAATTCAATTGAGAAAACTAACGGCCAAATTTATAACAAAACAATTTACGAAAAACAAATATGACTGACATGAACCAACGACAACCACTGAATAGTCTATGTCAATAAGTTGTTGAATTTAAAACTGTCGATGTATGCTGAGAAAGTTTACGCTAAAAAAATGACAAAAACACACAAAAAAAAGACTGTGCATAGATCCCTTTCAGATATAGGATCACGACAGTAAAGTGTAAACTAGCCAAAATAACAGTTTTAAATAGTTAACGAGAACTAACGTTTAAAACATTTTCCAAGACTTCCCCTTTTTTAATTTGCCTTAGAGTTCGGTATTTTTGTAGCACACTTTTATACTTGAATGGCAATTTGTTTTACATGTTCCGGCAAACAATGTCTCATTGGCAATTATACCACATATTCTTATTTTTTTTAAATTTTTACCAATTTAGTTTTCTTCCCAATTCAAGTGGCCAATCGGATCATTTCTACTCTAAGTATTGCTGGCAGTGATACACTGTTCATGGTCCATTCAAGTTGTGTACTAGTATAAGATTTTCCAAAATGATCAGTGAAACCTCTTTTCAAATTCTTTACGTCTTTTCTAATATAGAGGGTTAAAGAGAATTGCGCCAAACTGGCCTTAATATGATTCAGATTGCATTATATCTTTTATTGTTTGATTTTACCTTAATACTATCATTAAAGGTCAATGGCTACCTGGCCTGTTAAACTTTTTCCCGTTCATCACAAGTGTCAGTTAAGCAACTAACAAGCAACCGAACCACTTTAGATTTTATCTAATAAAATATTTAGCTCAATATCTACTGAACACAGCTAGAAATCTTCCAGTCAATCCAATATATCAAATTTATATAAGCAAGTCATCAAAGGAAATGGTTGGGACAGAATTGCTGAACATTTTAAATGGAGGCAGAAGCATAGGAAGTCAGCAAAACACATCTAAGCAAATCAGAAACTGGAGAATGAGTCGATGAACTGCTGATAAATTATCAGGTATTCAGACACTGATGGAAATGTCAACAGAGAAATGCTAAAACTTTAACGCTAGATGAAGCTACGTGAGTCGCTGCTGAAGAATTCATATTAGATTATGCGATTATTTAATCGATAAGAGTTTCTTATGAAGTTGAGGTTGAACAGTAATCAAAACGCAATACTATAATAAGAATGTCGGACTTCTATACTATCCCCCTAAATAGGCTTTTTAAGTACAATCTACTGAAACGTGGTCTTTTCATGAATTTGAACGTGTTCTTTTGGTTAATATAAACACATTTTCAAAGGAATTTCAAGTCGATTTATTGCTTTTTTCAATGCAGTAATATTACTTTGCAATGAACTAAAATCATTGCATTGATATTATTTGTTCATGAAACGAGCACAATGGAAAAACTTTCGAATTACTGTTAGTCAATAATTTAATAATTAACTTTAGTCTGTATAAAGTAATTTAGTTAATATAAACTTTCCACATCACATGATAAATAATTTCTACCGTTTTACTCTCAATAAAACTGTGCTTTGAAATTTTGAAAACCGTTAATAAATGCTAAAGTTTAACCAGTAAAGTTTACCAGAAGTAAATCTAAGAGTTTATCTGGCTTTGTTTATTGAGGGACATATAACCCTCAAGTATGCAATATATTGCAGATATAGTATAAATATCAGGAGTTTTATGGACTGTTGAAAGATTTACAACTTTAAAAGGAGAAATTAGTTTGTGAAGTAGTAATAATTTATGATCTTATACTGATCCTAAAGGAACGGTCCGAATATCTATGTAATATTTAAGTGTTTTTGCTTCCTCTATGCAATTATTGTATCTTAATGTACTAATAATCAGATTTATAACTGTATTGGACCAGCATTTTAAAGTCATACACTATACTTGAAACACTATTAATTCTTATGTGCCAGTTGACAGTGAAGGTATGTTGTCACATAATTCTCTAGATATTCGGTCCGATTCAGGTTTTCTTGAGGAAGACAGTAATTTGGAAGACCATCCTGCTAACTCGCCAAAAATAAAGAAGATCTGCACCGTAGATGATATAGCGAGTTTAATGAGGAATACACATTTGCAGCAATGTGATAATGACATTCGCTTCTCGCCTTGTTCTCCCAGAAGCACCTGTTCTCTTGTATCATCAGCATCTGATGCACAATCAGAAGAACGGAAGTCAATTCTTAAAAGTGTCTCTTCATACAAACGAAAAAAATGGACGGAATCAAATCATATAGATTTAAACGGAAATTCTCATTTATGTGTTGAGAGTCAAAACAATAATGTCAAAAACAAAAGTCATCAACCCAGAGCTGTGTATGGGAAATTACAGAGATGCCAGTCTTCCCCAATAAAAAGAACAGTTAATATCAAATTTCCTGATGAAGCACAGACATCATGCAGCGATTCCTATCAGAAGAAAATGAAGATTATAAGTAACCTTAACTCTTATTATGACTCACGACTAGAACGGTCCAAGTCATTTCTACATGGACAGAGCAAAGTATTTGCCAAAGCCAGTCAGTATTTAACACCGGCAAAACCGGGACTTCGAAAGCTTCAAGTATGTTATTCAAAAACAAACATGGAATTAAACAAAGGCAAAATTTTTGGAGATTTAGTGAAAACAGCGCATAAACAGAATATGGTGATCTGTGATTCTGTTGACAGCATAGAAAGACGACTTTACAGGAAACGTACTGATCCAACAAAGAAAACTACATACTTTGCAAATATGAATAAACCGGATCCGTTCAGAGTGAAATCAAAGAAAGCACAAACTGTCGCAGAAAAGGAAAAAGAACGAAAAGACAGAATATTAGAAACAACAGAGGAGATTAGACTTGGATTTAAAAGAACAGCAAAAACTGTGAAACTTTTAACACCAGACGAAGTTGAAAAATTAAAACGATGCAGATATTTACGACTTGATCCAGCAATTCAGCTACAATTGGAGGAAAACGATCTTTGTTAACGTGTTTGTTTACTTATTTGTTTACAAGTTTTGATAAATATATGTGTTTTAAGTGTTGGATAAATGATTCGAGTTGTTAATTTTCCCTTAAAGGTCTTTTATATTACTGACGAAAGTAAAAAATCATTCGATTAAGATTTATTTATTGATGTAATGTTATATTAATGTATAGCAGGAGTTGCATACTATTTCAAAATATCAAATCCGTTTTGATTTTGAAGAATTGCCACGAAACGATTAAAACTAACAAAAAAAAAGGTGTTATACTGTACTCAATGCATGAAAACCATTAAACGTGCTAAATAGACGATCATCTCATTAAGAATGAACCATTATATGGAATGGACTCAGCTAGTGCTACAAATGAGGAGCAAGACGAGAACTGACACTAAACCTCAGCTGATATATCTGATATGTCTGAAGAAATTCTAAAAAAGAGATCTTGATAAATATTTGGTACAGCAGTTGTTTTATATACATTGATTAATCTTCATTCACGAGGTCAGTTTTGTTAGATCTTTAAGAAAAGAGTTGAACGTAACGCGTGAATTAAATTCTTCAATATATATGTATTCCCTTTACCAAAATGTTTACATTGCAAGCATAAATCTAAATGATTTGGGTGAAAATTTGATTATTTTAAAATTCGATCACCGAAAAAAGAATTATGTAGTTGTAAATCAGAGACTAAGTATATTGGTAACTAATTTTTCAGGGAACCAAGTTAAGGCATTTTTTTTTAAATTTATTTAGAAACTAAGTTGAATCGTATCTCTTTAGAAACTGAGTTGAATGGTATCTCTAATTGACATTTTTGCAATAAAAATATGTATTATTGTTCAAACGGGGTTTTAATTTGTCATAAAGTAGAGTAGTATACAAGTTTGGCGAGTTCAGACGTCTTCAATGATGTTTATTCTAAATAGAATCAATCCTTCAATTGTTCTTTCAACTTTTATTTTTATCGTAATCCATACTTGGTTATTGAACGACTTCAATAAATTTCCTTCTAGTATTTTTATACTAAATTTTTCATTGAAGAAATATTTAATTGACTCACATTTTTGTTATATTTGCTTTTAAAGAACATTAGAAATGTGCATAAATTACACCCGTTGTTCCTCTTCTTACTGCAAAGTGTAGAAGGGAAAAACTGTTAAAGATCGTTGGATTCTTTCTTCAAAAGGAATCAGTTTGATTATCACATTAAACATTTTGAAAGCAACATTGAACAAAACCGTTCTACTATGAGAATATCACATTGGTTTTCTGTTTGCATCAGTCGTAAAACAAGCTAACAATGCTGTTGTCTGACGAAAGTTCTATATATATCAAAATACAAAAAAAATCAAGTGCTGGTACAATCATTCCACTACTCTGCTTATGGGTTGCAGATGATATCACAAAATGCCTACTCTTTAATGGATTCCTTAATTAAAAAATACCAAAGAATTAAAAGATATCAGAGGGGCAATCAAAAACCATATGTCAAAGATAGACAACACCATGGCCAATGAAAAAAAGACAATATTGATCAACACGAACGAGGATGAACTCCTCGACCGAGGGTGAACTTATGTGCCCCTGAAGGGTAAACAGTTTCTACTCCACTAATGGAACTCGTCGTGTTGCTTATGATGTTTTAATATTTCTGTATCTAGTCCCTATAGTGAGGACAGTTCTTACTAATATTTATATACCTTCCAAGTTTATTTCATCATGGTTTATGCATTAAATTATAACATCTAGAAATTGACAATGACGGTCGGTTGAGAACAAAACTTTACGACAAAAGATATGATTTCAGCTTCCCAATTGTGAACTTTCCATTTTTATGTAGCAGCATTCCAGTAGCGCCTGCATACGGAGTATATATCTCCCAGTTGATACGATATTCCAGGGTTTGTGTTTCCTATCATGATTTCCTTGATAGAGTGTTGCTGCTCACAAGGAAGCTATTAAACCGAGAGTTCCAAATGGTGAAGTTGAAATCGTCCCTTCGATTATTTTACGGACGCCCTCACGAGTTGTTTGACCATCATGGAATATCTGTTTCACAGATGCCGACGGATATGTTCCAATCGGTATAACCACAATCCCTTCCTCTTTTTCCTCGAATGTGATCTAACGAATTAGACTTATCACCACACGAAGTCCACGTGTGGAGCAGGATCTGCTTACCATTCTGGAACACCTGACATCACTCCCGTTTTTTTGTGTGATTCGTGTCGCTCAGTCTTTAGTTTTCTGTAATGCGTTTTGTATACTGTTGTTTGTTTTTTGTTTTTTTTTGTTTTTATTTTGTTTTTGTCTTTTTATTTATTTTTTAATATGGCGTTGTCAGTTTATTTTCGACTTATGAGTTTGAATGTCCCTTTGGTATCTTTCGCCTCTGTTTTACAGCAATTAGGGAGAAAAAATACTTTTAAAAAGGTGTCATGAATGTGAAGGCAAAATAGTGATTTGGTTCAGTTACAAAACGTAAAAAAATGAGGACGTCTGAAGCTGTCAAACTGAATTAATGAATGTTTTTACATAAATTTGTCCATATTTTTAATGGCACTACATAATCAATTCAGAAACGGAGCTCTTTGTTATAGTATTATAGTACGAAGCTTAAAGATATGATGCATCTTTTTGAATTAAAGACAAATAGTAACAACAACTTATTTAATTAGGTGCAAATCATTGTTGATTTTAAAATTCCTATTCATAAATTCCATTGACAAAAAAATCCAAGAATAGATAAAAGATTGGTCTGATAAAATTCAAACAAATCATTCCTAACTAATCTGCCTTTAAAAAGGAGGGAGTAATTGATATGATAGAACTCTGGTTTGAGCTTAAATACACTCGACGTTGAGATAAAAACGTCAATGATTTGGGAAGTAGAGACATTTTTTTTACCAACCGAATTGTCTTCAATACATTGAAAACAAAGTTCTCAATGTCGACTTTAATAAAATCCGTTGGATGTGTACGGATTGAGACTTAAGTCATGGAGAACATAATTTATTAATTAGCTGATATTAATTTTGAACTTGCTTTCAGTAAATGCATATACTCTTAGATCGGTACTCTTTGTGTTTATATTAGTTGTTTTGTTCTTCGTGCTAATCTGATGAGTCAAGCAATTTCCAAGTGATATTTACTGAAATCGTCATGTGACTATTTATTGGGGTTATTGCTCTTCAATGACGATTTTTACCCATTTTTATTGTCTTTGCCTATTAACTTGAAAACTATGATAGATAGACACTTTTAATGGCAAAAATGATCAGCAAGACAAAGATCTACAAATAAGTCAAATTTTCCCGAAATCGTTATTAAGACCCCATATTGGAGTGCTTGCTCTTTAATAGATAGCTAGACACTTTAAATATCAAAACAATGATCAATGTCATCAAGACAAGATCTTCAAATAAGTAAAATGAACAAAATCGTCATTTGACTATTTATTGGAGTTATTGCTCTTTAATGACGATGTTTATACATTTTAAGTGTATTTGCCTATTATCTTAAAAACTATGATAGATAGACACTTTTGATAACAAAAATTATCAGTAAGACCTACAAATAAGTCAAATTTTGACGAAATCGTTAATTATCTCCATATTGGAGTGCTTGCTCTTTAAGGTGACCTATAGTTTCTTAACTCTACGTCATTTTGACTCTATTAGATCGTTGTCTCATTTGCAATCATGCCACATCTTAGATTGTATTAGAGATAATATATACGTGCAACGTTCCTCAAGAACATGGGTTTCACCAATGCTGAAGGCTATTATCTGTAGTTACCCAAGAACATGGGTTTCACTATTGCTGAAGGTCATTATCTGCAGTTACCCAAGAACATGGATTTCAACATTGCTGAAGGTCATTATCTGTAGTTATCCAGAACATGGGTTTCACCATTGCCGAATTATCTGTAGTTACTCAAGAACATGTGTTTTACCATTGTTGAAGGTCATTATCTGTAGTTACTCAAGAACATGGGTTTCACCATTGCTGAAGGTCATTTTCTGTACTTATTCAAGAACATGGGTTTCACCATTGCTGAATGTCATTATCTGTAGTTATCCAAGAACATGGGTTTCACCATTGTTGAAGGCCATTATCTATAGTTATCCAAGAACATGGGTTTCACCATTACTGAAGGCTATTATCTGTAGTTATCCAAGAACATGGGTTTTACCATTGCTGAAGGTCATTATCTGTAGTTATCTATATCCTTGTCCTTTGGTCTTTGGTGGATAGTTGTCATCACACCACATCTCCTTTTTTATATTTAATCTCATTATCATGAATTGCTTGATAAATGATTTAACTTTTTTCGTGTGCATGTGAAAAATAATATATTATAATTTATATAATGTAACTTTATTCTTATACGATTAGGTTTTTGACGTTTTTAGTGTATTCTATATTAAGGAATTGTTCCATCTCTTACAACTATATTTAACACTTATTTACATGATATCAAATACTTAAAGTATCACGAGAAGAAGATTTTTATCATTCCGTGACATTTCTTTAAAGAATGATAAATATGGATTGATTTTCACCAACAACTCAAACGTGTTTTAATTATAAAATTACAAAAGATTGAAAAAAACCTATGTGTGTTATCCTTCATCTATATACAGTATTATTAATGCAGATGCTTTAAACTTCATCTTAAAATATACCTTAATCGTATTACAGTATAGTTTTATTTTCTTGTGACATATTTTCTTCTAAAAGACATTGTTTGCAAAATATAAGAAAATGCGATACTTCACAGGAGGGAAGTAATATGACATTCCTCTTAAGAAAAATATTTCTCTGACTTTTCAATATAAATAGATAAATGAATGGCGCTATGAAATAATTATTGTGGTTGTCTGAATGTAATAGAATTGTATTTGCATCAATACATATACGTTCAAAGGGTTTTTAAATAAATAAAACTTTTTGTCCAATCATGGTTAATTAATATTAATAAGGCCTTATGCAAGTGAAATATTTAAAGGTTATAGAAGTGTATGTTTATTAGATCATTATAAGATTATTCATATTTTTGAATATTTTAATTTCTTTATAAGTTTTTTTTTAATTTTTGACAAAGTTTATTTTTTGGAAATCTTTTGAGTCTGAATCATACCGTCAATGAATTCCTTCATTTGATTTTTAATTTTTTTAAACTTATACAAATGTGCATTTCAAATAAAATAACCAGTCAAGCAGCAAATTGTGTTTTGAATTTTTAAACGCCTGGATAACAGTAACAGGTTTGATTATATTCTAAACAAAGAGATAACATTGTACAAAGAGATAACATTGTACTTTGCACCCATCCGAACATGATCATCGATGGAGACTATTTTTTCTTATATCATTAATTTATCAAATACCATTTCTTAGTAAACTTTTGTATTATTTGTAAACTGTTACTGTGGTTAGTTTAAAGAACAATCAAATTAATACTTCTGTCTTGAAATTTTATTCGAAAAAAAAACCTTATTTGTAGAAAAAGAGATCTTGTATAACCTTATATTTAATAATATGCATGTACAAAGGTGTGCAGTTGGAATAATCTATCAAATCTTTCATAATAGATAATATAATATCTGCAATAATTGCTTTAATGACCCCAAAAATTACAGTGTAAGACATTTAAATTGATAAAAGAAACAGCGTAACCAAAGCCAGTTAATTATACCAAGAACTTAACACACAAAGATCTTAATGAAATAACCAAAACAGAATAATTTTAAACAATCGTAATGCTCGATGTTGTCAAACCATAAGCATTGTACTTATATTTACGTGCCGTTTAATGGTAGGAGCGCAGGTATTTCCCTTTTCCGTTGGAGTGAGATGAGTTCATTGTTATGAATTCTTC